TTTTAGACATAGATCTGGGGAGTGCCAGCCTACAATCCTATTGCCAGAGAGTCTGGGAAACAGAAACTTCATTTACTGGCTAGTTAAGTACTGAGCTGAACTCAAGAAAGCCAGTATCAGAGAGGGAGGACTGATGATCAAAGGGATTAAGACTGGGCTGGTTGAACCCCCAGAAACAGCTGACCAGACAAAGGTTAACTCTTGAATCCCAGGCATCAGCCTGGGAATCCAGCATGGGACTGATCAAGACCCCCTGAATCTGGGTGTCAGTGAGGAGGCCTAGGTAATCTATTGAGCCTTGGACAGCAGATCAGTACCCATCCCAAGTATACACACGGTCTCTGGACTCCCATAGAACAATGTGAGGTGCACTCTCACCCTGAACTCTTGGGGAAGGGTCTAGGCCCTGCCCTATATGAAATGACAGACCATGGATACCCCCATGGAGGGCCTCACTCTCCCTGGGGGAATGAGGGGATAACGGGGGGGGGGATGGGGGGAGGGCACAGGAGGAGGGGAGGGAAAGGGAGAGGGACCTCGTACTGACTTGTGAAGCAACCTTGTTTCTTATCTAAATTTAAAATGGAAAATAAAAAAAATATTAATAAAAAAAAAGAAAGCAGGCTGAACAAGCCATGGAGAACAAGTCTGTAAGCAGAAGCCCTCCATGGGCTCTGCATCAGCTCCTTTCTCCAGGTTCCTGCTCTGCTTGAGTTCCTGTCCTGCCTTCTTTTGATGATGAACTGCAAGGTGGAAATGTAAAATGAATAAACCCTTTCCTCCCCCCCCAAAAAAAACAAAAACAAAAACAGAACGTTACCCTGGATTGTCCTCAAGATGTTTTCCTACTAACACTCCCCCCCCCCCGCCCCATCCAAGGTTGTCTACTTTCTCTAGATGTCTAAGGACTGAGGGAAAACTAACAGCTACTAGTCAATCTGTTGACAAGAAGGAACCACTACAGCTGTTTCCAACAACACTCTTAATAAATCAGCTAAGCAAATGACTAAGACTCGCAATTGTGTTTGACTATTTTGTGTGCTGTAATTCCTTCTACCTTTCTTTGGCTTTTCAAGAAACCAAAACTATCTCTTTTGTGAGTTCTGTGAGGCCTGGGAAAAGAATGTGTATGTGGACACTGAGCCTTTCATATTAAACTGGAACCCTGTCTGCCCCATTTTAAGACTTGTGGGGGAAGGAGGTCCTACAAACCTGTGGGAGTCATCATGTTAAACTCAATCTCTTCTTTTTTGAGATACAGTCCCATGTTGCCTAGGTTGGTCTCTGTGAGTGATATGAATGAGAATGGTCCCCAGAGGCTCATATATTTGAATATTTGGTCCCCAGTTGGCAGAAATGTTTGGGAAGGATTGAGAGGTGTGGCCTTGTCGAAGGTATGTCACTGGCAGTGGGCTTTGCAGTTTCAAAAGCCCATGGCATTCCCAACGTGATCTCTCTCTCTGCCTCATGCTTGTGGATCATATATAAACTCTAAGCTACTGCTCCATCACCCTCCCTGCCTGGCACCATGATCCCACCATGATGGTCATGAATTCGAACTAACCTCCTGATCTTCCCAATAAATTCTTCCTTCGATTAGTTGCCTTGGTCATGGTGTCTTACCACAGCAACAGAAAAGTAACTAAGACAGTTTCCAACTCACTATATAGCCCAAACTGGCCACAAAGTTGCCATGGAGTCTAGGTTCATCCTGAATTCATGTTCCTTCTGCTTAAATGCCATGGGTACAGGTAGGTGTGCACTACATGCCTGCCCAAATTCTGTTCTAATAACACCAAAACTCAGCTTTTTCTGGATTTGTGATGATGTGGAGGTAGGATGAATCGTGGGTAACTTCCTCATCTAATTCTTTAGACTATGCTCACTTTAGTTTTTGTTCTATGAATTAAGAAGTAGAAACCCAAATTCTCTAAATTTAGATTAAGATGGGACTTTGGAGCTTACTTCTGTTTCTCTTCAAAAAATCAATTATCACTTGACTATTTGTCCTTCTGCAGATGCTCTTTAATGTTCTCTATCCTCTCGAATCCCAAGGAACAACATGCTCTCAGACTTACTATTTAGACAAAACTCACATGACTATAAGGAAATCCCTGCAAGTTCTATTTCAGTTAATAGCAAATATTAACTACAACAGCCAGAAAACCTACAGAAAAGAAAGTCAAAGGAGGCAAAGTCCTTTGCTTGATGGCTTGAGACAATGACTAAGGCAGTGAAGAGGGCTGAAGTCTGGGAAGGGAACACCTGTATGCTATGAATATATGTTTCTCTTATTGGTTGATGAATAAAGCTGTTTTGGCCAATGGACAAGCAGAATTTAGCTATGCAGGAACTCTGAACAAAGAGGTGGAGAAAGGAAGAGAAAGGAGAGTCGCCATGTAGCCGTCGTGGAGGCAGAACACCCGGACATCATCAGTAAGCCACATAGAGATACACAGATTAATAGAAATGGGATAGTAATTAGGAGAGTTCCAGCCAGTAAGAAACCTAAGCTATTGGCTAAACAATTGTAACTGATATTAAGTCTTAGATCAGTTATTACTTAAGCGGCTGTGGGACACAGTGGGTAAAAAAAACTGGTCCAGTGGAACCAAAACAGATGAAGAAAATCTGCCTCTACACAAATATTTGTGTCCCATACTTTGTGAGTCCCAGTTCCCCTCAAGACATCTGAGAAGATGAGCAGAGAATCTGGCCGGCTCAGATGTGACAGACTGAGACTTATGGAAACTGGAATTTGAGGGCCAATGGAGGAAAAAGATGTTAACAGCCCAAGCTTTAGGTTGGAACCCTAGATAAAAATGCAAAAAGAGAAACTAACCCTAACAGGTATTGAACCCATCTTTAAATTACCTTTCTTGCTGACAGGGTTAAGGTGGCCTGGAATCCCCATTGCTTCGGTCTAGCTGTAGAGCAGTCCTAAATTGAAAGCCATAAATCATCTCAGAAAGATGACATTATTCAGAGCATCTCAAATTATCTTCTAATTCAGTCCTTGCTCATGTATGTCACTCAGGAAAAGAAGACATACACACAGAAGATTAAAAATCTAGCTTCTAAAGATAATTTAGGAGACTGGCTTTATGACTTTGAAACAGGCAATGATTTCAGAAATAGGACACAAAAGATACTAATAAGAACAGGATCAATCACCAGATTAAGAGTTTCTGTTCTTCAGGCTAGGTGGTGGTGCACACCTTTAATCTCAGCACTCGAGAGACAGAGGCAGGTGGATCTCTGTGAATTCTGAGACCAGTTTCGTCTTCAGAGCTAGTTCCAGGACAGCTAAAACTGTTACACAGAGAAACCCTGTCTTGCAGGTGTGTGTGGGGGGGAGAGTTTCTGTTCTTAAAAAAAATAATTTGGAATTTAATTTAAAGTGAATAGATAAGGTATAAGATGGAAGAAGGTATTTTATCATACATGAAAAGCAAAAGGTACATACATATTCAGATACATAAAAGAACTCTTAGCAATCAGCAAGAAAATGCAGACATCCCAATAGACAAAAGGACAAGGAATGTAAACAAGCATTTCATAAAAGGAACATAGTTAATGGCCAGTAAATGTGTGAAGAGAGTCCTCAATTCTATGAACTGTCCCAGAAACATAAACTAAAGCCACAGTAAAATACGCAATACTAAAAGTTAAAAGACAGCAACAACAGCAAGTGGAGCAACTGGACCTTTCAGACACCAGGAATGTGGGAAATAGTAGCACCGCCTTGGAAAACTGTCTTCTAATGCTGAACCTACAATGTCTTATGCCCCAGCAACTTTTATCCTAGCTACAGTCCCACTGAAAACATACACACAACACATCAAAGACATGTATGTATAAGAATATTCACTGAAGTTTTCTTCAAGTGGTAAACAATCTGATGTTCATTAATAGAATGATAAATTAACTAGAGATAAACACAACATGGACAAATCATACAAATAAACCAGACATGAAAACAGGTATACACTATATAACTTCATATATTTGTGTGTGTATGTAAATATATATATACTATTTTCAATTATATATGTATATAATATAAAATATAGTTACATAAATACATAAACAAATATTTTTATGTATTTAGGTTACATATAATTGAAAAAGAAAACCATTAGATGTTACTAAAGTTAAAAGACTGAAAAAAACTGACTGTGGCTACACTTGGTGAAGACAAAAATACTACCTTATGCTAGTTTTTTGTGTTTCCTGACTGGTTTAATGTTAAACAAGTGTGTTTATTTTGAGACAGGGTCATATATAGCTCAGGCTAACTTTGAATTCATTATGTAGTTCAGGTTAGGCTTTATCTTCCAGCCCTACCACCATCTCTTGAGTGCTGGTATTACAGGCATATGTTTCCATGGTTGGCTCTTAGTGTGTATTGACTGAGAACAGTTATAATTCATGTATGTTTCTTTTCATCTATTATGCTTTGGGAAAATATTGCTTTTATATATTCGATGTCTTCAAAAGTATCTATAATAAGCCATTTACTCATTTGATCACTACATCAATACAAAATACCACGAAGGTTTAACTGTCCTGTCTTTAATTAGACTTGACAAGAATAGTGTGTTCCCTGCATGTAGCCCTATTTTCTTAGTATAAGATTAGACATAATTGGCCAAATTTAACCAATAGGAATCATCCTCACCACAAGGATGGCCCAAGCCTCCCCTCCCTTCCTGACTTCAGGGCAGGCCACTGTATACTTTTAATAGCTTATATACAAAGGCACCTTCCCTGGACACAAAGCTTTTGAGGGCCATGTCTGCCAGGCTATGGGTTACCCACTGAACTGAAATGTTCACATTCCTCTTGACTGGAGAGATGGTCACCATGGCCACCTATGTATGGTTGAAAGATCCCCTTGTCCCAGAAGACTGAGTATACCTGTTCAATGCATGTCACCCACTGACAATTCAACAAATGGATGTTGTCACCAATGATCACAGGGGAAGACAAAAGGATACTTGTGATCAAAGCTGTACCATAGCCTGAATATCCATGCACTTTCCTGCTTTGTCCGGCTTCCTCCAACAGAATCCAGACCATCCTAGAACAAACCAGAGAACACTGATTAGGAAAAGGGGCAATGAGAGAAGGGGAAAGACTAGTTTTGAAACTGTAACTGTTGTGTTTAACCCAGAGTCTTGTATGAGCTAGGCAATTGCTCTCAACATGGGTTCACACAACTACAACTTTCCCAGAGCTAGAGCTCACAGTGGAGCACAACAACAGTTTCAAAGACGCAGCTCAGTGATAGGGGATTTATGTAGCATGCACAGAATATTGAGTTCAATTCCCAGAGACACACATGCAGATAGAGAGAGAGGCTATATTCTAACAGAGATCAAACAATCACAAAAGGAAAAAATCAATTCCCAAAGTAAAAAAGTCTAGTCTTGTTTGTAGGTAGATGAAGCCAATATTAACATAAAATCTATTTTGGCAGTTTTATTTTAATTTCCCTCCAAGTACCTTTCAAGAGTTAATTACCTTACAGTGGTCTAGATCCTTGCAGGCCAAAATTGTGCATCGCCAATAGTAAAGAAAGCTTGTGTAAAATGAACATTTCAGGTTTCCCAGCGTTGGCCTAGATAAATAATGCTAAATTTCCGGACAAACTAGCCTAAGGGCTCTTTGTGGTCCTGGCCTAGATTTCCAGGTAACAGAACTACTTATCTCTCTACTAGCTTTATGGGTCAGTGCCTAGAGAAATAGGAGTCAGACTAGCAATTATGGGATTTTTATCTATTATGAAGTAGCCAGTTCCATGTCATTGCTATCAAATATCCTCACCATTTAATTTTCAATATCTGTAACATCAGACATTCACTTGAGGTTTAAGATGTCTTTTCTACATGATTATTTTATAAACAGTACAATTAATATCAAATTAAATTGACTTCAGCAGTTTGAAGGTACTGCTTACATTCTATATTGTAGATGAAACACACCTATTTTATCATCATCCTCTTTAACACTACAGAGAGAGGCAAGTCTGAAAGTCAGGAACAATCAACAATATATACTAAAACTTGAAACAAAGTTACAAGTAATTCTAAATCACAGTGAGTGTAATTCTAGAGTAGTAACAAAGTTAGTCAGGGCTATTTGAGAAAATGAGCATACAGAATAGCTTTCTTTATTTTTCAATAGTATCTAGTCTGCTCAAGTCACACATAACCTGTATATGTCATCTAGTGTATTATTGAACTAGAAGACTTCTTAGGTCCTTTTTCCAATTTTTATTTAAATTAGAAACAAGCTTGCATCACATGTCAATCCCAGTTCCCTCTCCCTCACCTCCTTCCCAGCCCCTCCCACAAGGCACCCCCAGCTCCTCTCCCAATCCCCACTCCGATCTCCAGAGAGGATGAGGCCCTCCATGGGGGATCTCTAGAGTCTGTCATTTCATCCAGGGCAGGACCTAGGCCCTCCCCCATGTGACCAGGCTGAGAGAGCATCCCTCATTGTGGGATGGGCAGCCAAAGTCCATTTGTATGTCAGGGATAAATACTACCCAAGGCTTCATAGATTGCCTAGGCCTCCTCACTGACACTTTTGGCAATTTTTACTGTGTTGATCCTACCTATCCAACACCATGGGAGATCTTTCCATTTCCTGGTGTCATCTTTAATTAAAGACTCAAAGTTCTTGTGATACAGGTCTTTCACTTCTTTGGGTAGCGTTACCCCAAGGTATTTTATGTTGTTTATGGCTATTATAAAGGGTGATGCTTCTCTGATTTCTTCCTCAGCCCTTTTATCATCTGTATATAGTAGGGCTACTGATTTTCTTGAGTTGATCTTGTAGCCTGCCACTTTGCTGGAGGTATTTGTCAGCTGTAGGAGTTCCATGGTAGGGTTTTTTTTGTGTCACTTATGTAAACTATTATATCATCTGCAAATAGTGAAAGTTTGACCTCTTACTTTCCAATTAGTATCCCCTTGACCACCTTTTGTTGTCTTATTGCTCTAGCTAGAACTTCAAGGACAATATTGAAGAGGTATGGAGAGAGTGGAAAACCTTGTCTTGTTCCTGATTTTAGAGGAATCGCGTTGAGTTTCTGTCCATTTAGTTTGATGTTGGCTGTTGGTTTGCTGTATATAGCCTTTATTATGCTTAGGTAAGTTCCTGTTATTCCAGATCTCTCCAAGACCTTTATCATGAAAGGGTACTGGATTTTGTCAAAGGTTTTTTTCAGCATCTACTGAGATGATCATGTGATTTGTTTCTCAGCTTGTTTATATGGAGGACTACATTGATGGATTTTCATATGTTGAACCATCCTTGCGTCTCTGGGATGAAACCCACTTGATTATGGTGGATGAGTTTTCTGATGTGTTCTTAGATCCGATTTGCAAGTATTTTATTGAGTATTTTTGCATCAATGATCATGAGGAAGTTCTCTTTTTTAGTTGTGTCTTTGTATGGCTTGGGTATCAAGGTTATTGAAGCCTCGTAAAAAAGAGTTTGGCAAAGATTCTTCTGTTTCTATTGCATGGAAAACTTTGAGGAGAACTGGTACAAGCTGTTCTTTGAATTTCTGGTAGAATTCTGCACTGAGGCCATCTGGACCTGGGCTTTTTTTTTTTTTTGGTTGGGAGACTTTTGATGACTATGTCTATTTCCTTAGGCATTATAGATCTATCTAAATTGCTTACCTGTTCTTGATTTAATTATGGCAAGTGATATCTATCCAGGAAATTGTTCATTTCCTTTAAATTTTCTTTTTTTTAATTGTCATTTTTTTATTTTAATTTTAAATAGCTTGTTTTACATGTCAATCCCAGTTCCCTCTCCCTCCCCTCCTCCCGCACTCCCCTTCCCCCCAGCTTCCAACCCTATTGCCAAATCCTTCCACATAGGGGATATCTAGAGTCTGTCATTTCACTCTGGGTAGGGTCCAGGCACTCCCTTAAGAGTCCAGGCTGAGAGAGTATCCCTCTTTGTGCTATAGGCACACGATGACTATTTGTATTCCAGGGATAGACACTGATCCACAGCTCAGGGCCCCATAGGTTGCCCAGGCCTTCTCGCTGACACTCACATTTGGGGGGTCCAGATCAGTCCCATGCTGGCCTCTCCACTGTCAGTCTGGGGTCCAAGAGCTCTCCCCTGTTCAGATCAGCTGTCTCCTTTAAATTTTCAAATTTTGTGGAGTATAGGTTTTCAAAGTATGACCTGATGATTTCCTCAGTGTCGCTGTTATGTCCCCCCTTTCATTTCTGATTTTATTAATTTGTATGGTCACAGTCTGTCATTTGGTAAATTTGGATAGAGGTTCGTCTATCTTGTTGATTTTCTCAAAGAAACAACTCTTCATTACATTGATTCTTTATATTGTATTCCTAGTTTCTACTTTATTGATTTTAGTCCTCATTTTGATTATTTCTTGGCATCTACTCCTCCGGGATGAGTTTGCTTCATTGTGTTCTAGAGCTTTCAGTTGTGCTGTTAATTCTCTAGTGCGACTATTCTCCAGTTTCTTCATGTGGGCCCTTAGTGCTATCAACTTTCCACTTAGCACTGCTTTCAAAGTGTCTCATATGTTTGGGTATGTTGTATCTTCATTCTCATTGAATTCTAGGAAGTCTTTAATTTTTCTTTTATTCTTCTTTGACCCATTAATGGTGCAATTGCGCATTATTCAATTTCCATGAGTTTGTAGGGTTTCTGCAATTTGTGTTGTTGTTGAATTCTAACTTTAATGCATGGTGGTCTGATAAGGTAAATGGAATTATCCCAATTATTTTTTGTACCTATTATGCTTGATATGTTGCTGAGTATGTGGTCGATTTTTAAGAAGGTTCCATGTGGTGCTGAGAAGAAGGTATATTCTTTTGTGTTTGGATGGAATGTTCTATAGATGTCTGTTAAACCCAATTGGGTCATAACTTCTATTAGTTCCTTTGCTTATTTGTTAAGTTTCTGTCAGGCCTGGGTCTGTTTACAACCCGCCTTCGGTGATCTGAACACAACTAGCCGAGGCCAGGGTACTGTGCACTGCAGCTCCCATCCCAGCAGGAGCCACCCCACCCAGAGACTGCCAGCATCCAAATCCCATTCTCCACCCATGGGACATGCGAGGTAAGCATGGGTCTGTTTCCAGCCTGCCTTCAGGTGCCCTGAGCAGAACGACCAGAGACCTGGGGATTGCACAAAGTCCTGACAGGGTTCAGCCTCCCCAAAGATTGCCAAGGCCCTGGTACTAGGTCAGCCTCCACTGATGCAAGAGGAAAGCCACCAGAGTATTGAACCTGCTCACAGCCACTGGATGGGAACCATGGTCACATACCCACCAGGAGAGGAAGAGACTCCTTCTGTACCCATTGGAAGAAATGATGGGAAGGAGACAATATAAAAACATTCAGCAACAGAAAAACCAATACGACACCACCAGAGTTGAAATACTCTATACCAGCAAGACCTGAATACCCCAATGAAGATGAAGCAGAAGAGAAAGACCTTAAAAACAACTTCATAAAAATGATAGAGGCCCTCAAAGAGGATATGAATCCCTTAAAGAAATGGAAGAAAAAACAAAGCAAAAAATCCAACAAATGCAAGAAACGGAACAAAAGACAAAGCAAAAATTGCAAGAAACAATTCAGATAGTGCAAGGTTGAAAGTTGAAATAGAGACAATAAAAAACACAGTCTGAAGGAATTCTGGAAATATAAAAGCTAGGCAAATGGTCAGGTACTACAGATACAAGCATAAACAACAGAGTACAAGAGATGGAAGAGAGAATCTCAGGTGTTGAAGATACACCAGGGGAAATAGATTCATCGACCAAAGTAAATCTTAAGTCCAACAAATCCCTAACACAAAATATCCAGGAAATATTTGTGAAAAGACCAAATCTAGGAATAATAGGTATAGAAGAAGGTGAAGAAAGCTACCTCAAAAGGGCAGAAAACATATTCAACAAAATCACAGAAGAAAACTTTCCCAGCCTTAAGAAAGATATGCCAGTGAAGATACAAGAAACTTACAGAACACCAAATAGAGTGGACCACAAAAAAGTCCCCTCACCACATAATAATC